AAAAAATTTCGATTTCAAAGAAATTCAAAAAAAAAGTCATAACGATAATAATAAACTAGTAAGTCTTATTACAACAATAACAAAAAAGAGAAAGTTTTTTTTTAAAGTACAACAAAAATGCAATGATTGAATAATAATAGTTAATAAAAAAAAAAAAACCATCAAATATATATCTCACAAAATAAATAAATAAATAAAAAGTGTAACAAAAATGTCTATAAAAAAATTGGTAAACTAAAAATACATGTGTATGTTATATATCCCTCCCATATTTTTTTTTTTTTAAAAAACAAAACCAAGTATTCTATTCTAAATAGCGACATGATATTTTACAGGAAAAAGAGTTTAAATACAAAATTAAAAAAAATATAACCGGTATTTTTTTTTTTTATCTTATTTCATTGGTGACATACCGACTGTAAAAAAAAAAAGTAAATAATGAGTATAATTGTATAAATTGTATAGTATGTAGAAATAGATTCAAGGAAAAGCGAACGTACCAGCAGAGTCGATACTTAAATTAATCTGATGATTCCCTATACCGAGATAAAGAATATTTTAGTAAAAATATTTAGTAAAAATATTTAGTAAAAATATTTAGTAGATATTTAGTAAAGATAATAAATTTACGGCAGGTGAAACGTAGATCACATAATGATGAAATTCGCTTTTGCATAATAAAAAAACACACTGTGATCTATTTCACCCAATCCTATAAATTTTATAAATTTTACAAATACAACAAAAATACGAAATGGATAAAGGATAAATACCTTGTGGTTTATTTTCCGAAGAATCCGAAATTTTAGGACCATCAACGGAATTAAGAGATGTATCAGATATACCGGATTTTAAAGTAATAACGGAATTTTTAGGTTCAGGAAGATTAATAAAATCCAAAAGTTTAGAGGAAGGAAAATTGAACGAATCATCTAAATCAATATGAGTAGATTTACTCAAAGATTTTTGTCTAAAATTTTCAGCATCAGTGAAAGGACCAAAATAATCTTTTTTTGAAGATAAAAATTTTAAAATAGTATCTATATCAGGACGATTATTTTGATTTGAATCCCAACATAAATTCATTAAATCTATATAACGATCAGGAACACCATCAATAATATCAGGTCGTAAACCTTGACAAATTTCTTTAGCTAAAACCAAATCATAAGGACGATCAAGGAAAGGAGGTAAACCCGAAGTAAGTTGCCACATGAGCATACCCAAACTATATATATCAGCGGCTTTAGTATAAAGATTACCACGTAAAACCTCAGGAGCAGTAAAAGGTAATACACCATAAACTTTAGAAGCAAGAGATTTTTCCGTAGCATCCGAAGGAAAATATAAACCAAAATCGGAGATAAAATATTTTGAAGAAGAATTTTCGATATGACGTAATATGTTACCACCATGTAAATTATGGTGAACCAAATTAGCATCATGAATGTCCTTTAAACCTTTTACAATTTCTCTTAATATTTCTAAACGTTGCCACCAATCAATATTAACAAAATTTTGACGAAGGTAATGATTTAAATCACCATCATTTGCGTATTGTGAGACCAAAAAATAATCATTTGTTTCAGGGTCTTGAGTTATACCGAAGCAACGAAGAAGTCTATCACTTTTCAAAACCAAGTGATAAGATTTAAACTATAATATAAATAGACATATAGGTTAGATTAATACATATAAATAATATAGATTAATAGGTATAAAATATAATATAGATTAATTAATCAAAGATAAAATATAGTTTAGATTAATAAAAGTAAAATTGTCTAACCTCATGGATG